TGACATGCAACATACATCTCATGCAAGTGACAACATAAATCACATATGCATCATCGTCATTTTTTTCACATTATACACATACTTGAATATCATATTGATAATAACAAGTCATCATAATCTTTTTCATCAACATCATCTTTCATATCATGCATATACTTAAATATCATGCACATCAATTTAATCAAGTTATCATCATATGCATATAAACACATCATGCAAATATCATGGATAAAATACTTTTGTAATAATCATGTATATATCCCATAAAAATCGCATAATGTACTCACCTTGAATCGTTAACATTCGATAGGTCTTTCTCTCAAAAACGGCAACCTACATGATAATTTATATCATTCCTAAACATCTTAAATAATCGTAATTAAATTGATTACTATTCCTTAACAATCTTAACACGACTTTTCCTTTTATTGATCAACCCCCGATAACATCATATCTCATGTTTTACTCCAATATTTTCTTGAAATAATGTGACGTCGTTAAATATTAATTGTTGCTCGTTCATTTTATAAAATAAGCAATATACTTCACATTTAAATAGTTCGCAACGTAAATAATGTTTTGTGGTCAAAACGTCTCGTTTAAGATTTGCAAGTAAATAAAGGTGACAGCATGTCACACACATATAAATAACGGTTGTTCCATAACTTTAAAGTTCAACATAATTAATACTCGAAATAATGTGAGAATACCAATTTTCCAAGTCTAGGGGCATTTCGGTAAATCTTAAGAAGCCGAATACCAAAGGTATAGCTTTACCAATTCCCTAATTTAGARYATTCTTGGTATATTTCATAAGTCGAATATTAAAATTGTGCTTAAAAGTCCAATCCCAAAGCATAGGGGTATTTTGGTAATTTTATTAAGCAATACTCAAAGTATTGTTAAGATACCGATTCCCTAATTGTGAAGTCATTTTGGCAATTTCATAAGGATAATAATCAAAATAAAGCATAAATACCAATTCCCAAGATATAGGGTCATTTCGGTAATTTTATAAAGCAAATACGTAAGTATCGCTAGAATACCGATTTCCACATTGTAGGGTCATTTTGGTAATTTCATAGGGATTAGATTTAAAATAACACTTAGATACCAATTCCCAAGACATTGGGTCATTTCGGTAATTTTATAAAGCAAATACGTAAAGTATTGTTAAAATACCGATTTCCAAATATATGGTCGTTTTGCTAATTTTATAAAAATAATAATATAAAAATGTAGTTCATAGACCAATCCCTAAGACATAGGGTCATTTCGGTAATATATGAAGCAAATACGTAAAGTATCGCAAAAATACCGATTTCCACATTGTAGGGTCATTTTGGTAACTAAACGGGATAAATAATCGAAATGCGGTCAAAGTTTGCATTTTAAACAAACTTAATGAAAGTCTCATAAAATTATTATGCAGAAAATTATTTCTGGAAATTCAAGGGACTAAATGCTAAGTTTTTTTTTTAAACTTAAATATATAATGTATATTAGGAATAACAGTGCATAATAAATCACCAAAGCCATTCTAGCCTACTGGTTAACATTCGAAGCCTGAAGACAGAGGTTGCGGGTTTGATTCCCGTCCTCAACGCCTTCATTCCAATTTTTAAAAGGGGGTAACCAGACGCGAGTCTTGGGTCTGGTCGACCCGGTCCGTGACCCAGCCCAAGACAGCAGGTCGGCCCAGCCCAAAAATCAACGAAAACAGCAGCCATGGCTGCTCGTTTTCGAGCTTCAAAATTACTCGTTTCTTGATCATTTTTCTTCATTCTTTTTGAGCCAAACTCTTGGTAATATTTTTACCAACACTTTGACATAAAGAACACGAATTTTCATCAAGAAATGAGTTCCATTTACTCATTTAAAGTTTGTTTTTAAAACTAAAACTTAACAACTTAAAAACATAAAAATCGAACAACGAAAACACAAATATGAGACATGAGGCTACTGAGGTTTGATAGATCGAAGCTATACACATAAAAATCAAGAGATTTGGTTAAAAATCTCACCCAAAATCGGTGAAAAACCGAGATTTTCGATCCCGAACTTCAAACTCCGATTTCTCTCTCAAAACTCAACTATTTTTCGAGATATTTGAACCAAAACGATCATAAACCGGTGTTCTATATTTATATGCAAGAGTTTTGGCATATTAGTTGACGAAATCGGACCAAATCGCGATTTTTTTTGCTGATGGGTCGTTTTCTTAAACAGACTTGTACT